AAACAACTTTTTCAAGAATCAAGGGCTTTCACTTTATCAACATTAGGAAATCCAGCACAGATAGCCACTAAGAATTAGCATCCTGATAAACTGTTTTCTCAAATTTGTGAATTGCATATTTCTCAGATATTTCACAGGGACCTGTTTCTTAAACTATCCAACTGCCCGCCCTGCTGAACTGTTCTTTAACACTTGTGTAAATCTGGGCACTGGGGACTTGGACCTAAAAAAATCATCTGGCTTACTCTTGTAGAAAGAACAGCTATCTTCCTCTGCAGGAGATAAAGCAGTCAGCCAAGTAAAACAGGTCCCAGAATGGAGCTGAACTCTAGCAAAACCTTCCCTAAACCACCCACCTTGTTGCTCCTACAGAATAGATCCGCACAGAAGAGGTATGTGTTGTAATGACAGTGGAGCTTCTAAATCTCCCTTAAAAATAATTTTCCCTTAAAAAAAAATTGATTGCAAGCAAATAAAAGAAATATTTGCATGCTTTTAATAAATTACAGATAAATGGAAAAAAAGAAGCTATTCTTCCTTGTTTCTAGCTTAAATGCTAAGCTAAGCTAAGGATCGTCTAGCTCATATTTAGCACCCTATGCCTGGGGATTATCTTATTATCAAAATACTGATGACAAAAGTAATAAGTGAATGACTGAAAACCCCTTTTAAAATGCCATTCAAATGCCTTTTGAAACAAACTGGCACCATCTTAAAGTGTTTAATGTTGATTTGATGAATGATCAGTAGAAACTGATGCATGCCTTTCTTTCTCGACTCAGGTATTCACAAACCTCCAGCGATCTTGACGTCAGTTTGGCAAACAGTGCTTAATCATTGCTGTTAGACACATGGACACAGAAGCAAACACAAGTCGACGGTTAAATGCCTTTCAAGGTGTCTGTGAGGCCTCAAAGGTAAAACTCCCATTCGTCTGGACCTGGAGTTGAATCACAACACTATGTGATGTTTCTTGCAGATTTATTCTTGAACTCCCTTTTTAATAAAGAATGTGCAAATCTGCTTCCCTGGATCTCGCTCTGTGTGTGTGTGTCCCATGCAGTCATGTCAACAGAGCAATCATTCATGTAAAGGAGAGCATACACTTAGAGGGTTTAGCTCTGCTGGCAGGTGATGATGGACAAGCCTTTCAGGGAACAAGTGAGGGATGGAAAGAGGGAGGAGGGAGACAGATGGTTGGAAAAGAAGGAGTGGAACAGAAGAATCCATAAACCTCTTTGTGGAATTCTCCTCACAAGTGTGGGGTGGCGATGAGAAAGGAAAGGGGGCAAAAAAACAGCTTAAAACTTTAAAAAGGTAAAAGCTATCATTGTATGGGGCATTTCCGTTCCATTGTCGGCCAGCCTGGGCAGAGAGCCATGGCCAAACAACCTCCCTTTCTCTCTGTTGAGAGGACAGGTACAGGAAACAGTCATTCATTAACAACCTGGAGCTCATTAGCTTTGGTGAAGTACTCTTCAGAATATGTGCAATTCCACCTCTGAGGGCAGCTCTTAGTGTGTGCGCATACATGTGTTTGTGAAGGGGCTTAGAGGTGAGGGGGGGCTAAAGGGTAAGGCAGGGCCAGAGGAGGTGGGTGTGCAGGTTTGGTGACCTGGGGTCCTCCAGCAGATGAGGGAAATGCTGGTGCGAGTGACTTTAACAACATTAGAACTCAGTGAACCATGTCACCTACAAACAACCACGATGATTTACCTTTTCAAATTCAAATTTTATTTGTCACGTACACAGTCATACACAGTACGATATGTAGTGAAATGCTTGGACAACTGCTCGTGACCTAAAAAAACCAAAAAAGGAAAAGGCTATGAATAAGATAGGAAATAAATATGAAAAATTAAAAAGGGTAAATTTAACTAGGAAGGAATAAAATATAAATTAAGGTTAAAAATGAAATAACTGTACAACACAAATTAGAATGAAGGGTAAATTTAACTGGGAAAGAATAAGATAAAATATATAAATTAAAGTTGAAAATAAAATAACTGTACAACAAAATACACAATATAGTACTATATAAGAATGTGTGAATAAATATAAATAAATATATACACAATAACAGCAGCTGTACAAGTATTAACTGGAAATGAAGAATATAGTGACCAGTGTTGTGCAATCCACATTATGTCTTGTGCAGTGCAAATATGCTTAAAGTGATTAAGTGATGAAGTGTTTTTCATTAATGGTTTGAATTGTGATTTTTGAGAGACTATAAGAGCTTGAAACCTATTTGATTGTTTTAAGTGCCACATCACAATCTGCATGTGCCACATTACCTCGGCTCTGAATTCTCATCAAGCAGCAAAGTAAAAAAGTCAAGTCTAGTTAGAAAAGTTCAGAACACGATACACAACAGGCTACCACCCAGTTTTCCAAGTGCACCCTGTCATTTGTAAGTTGTCAGCCTGCCCCTTTGCACTGGCTGGACAGGATGCAGGAGAGTTGTGTGCCTTTATTGGCTTTAAAAGATAATGACATGCCTACTGCCCACCGTTTACTGCTGATCCAGGGTCAGCGAGTTCCTCAGCCTCCTTGAGGTCCAGGTTCAGACTGCAGCTTAGGAAAATAGCTCTTGTATTTGTGGTTAAGAACACCAGAAAGGACACTTGTATTTTGATTGAAGCACTTTCCTCCGGGGTGGCTAAAACTTTCTCTCACAACCTTCGAATATGAGAATAAATAGCTGCCACCCATGCAGTTGACAAGGCGCTCGCACTCTTTCACCATCACTGCAGCAAGCTTAAGGCCACATGCCCTTTTTCATTACTCCGAACAGGCCAGCTGTATTGTAACTACAACCAATTTCCTTGCAGTCTATAAAGCTGTCAATCAAAATCATGCAGAATGAGGAGCGGAGTGGAGGTGGTTGGGGCTGCTGGGGAAGGGCTGCAGGCCTCCAGACCAGATGTCAGAGTTTAAAACTGCAGGACGTGTCAGAGGGAGGAGAGAGGGGTGGAAGAAGATCATGTTTATCTGGAGAAGAATCAACCAATCAGACCAAAGCAATCGTTTTAAGTTCCATTTATTAAAGTTATGAACAAAAAGACAAATAAGTTATATTTTTATTTGTTAGAAATCTATCAGTGTTTGAACATTAATATTTAGGGAGCTAGTACAATTTCTACTTTCATGACTAGCTTTCGACAAACCCATAGAAACAGCTGATCGGAACATAATACTGAAGGGGAGGTGTCAATGTTGTCTAACAAGACAGTTAGCAATGAAAGTGTGCACCTTAAGGCTTTTTTTCTGTTATGGTATATCATTACATATAAACTCTTTAAAAATATACTTCTGTCAAATACCTTGACAACTACTATGTACACTACAAAAATAAATTTTCATATAAATAAATTATATGGCATACATTTATCTTTGTAACTGAAAACAGCATACATCCATGCCAAGCAAGACCAGAAAGGCAGTCTGGAAGAACCCATTTTTTTTTCCTTTTAAAATCCTCTAAGAGCTATGATGAGACCTGTAGTGTAATATTGTTATATACTCTTTTTTTTCCTATTTAACATTAGTAAGCACTTTATACAGATCAAAATCCATTAATGTAAAAACATTAAACTGTAATAGTGTTTTTTCAATAGACATAAAAATCCCTGCATTTGTTATCCACATCACAACAATAATGAAAGAAAAAAAAACAACAAACATTTTTTATATTACAAAAATATAAATATCGCAATTGACTGAAAAACAAACAAAAAACATTTAAAATGAATAAAATAGTTGCCAGCTATGATTCTCTCCGCTACTGCCAATGTGACACTGGGAGAAAACAGAACAAAAAACATAAAAAACAAAACAAAGAGAACAACCACCTATTTCATGCAAGCAGCTGATGTAACAGGACGAGAAAAACTGCAAAGATTTCTGGGAAAAGCTACAAGTGTTTAACAGGATATGAGTGTAAAGGTTTTGAGGAGGGTACTCACGGGGTGCCAAAGGGGAATGGGGAGTCTATGGGTACACATGCAGGTATAAAATGGCCATTGGTGGTGGAGTGAGGGGCTGGCGGTGTAAACTCTGACCCCTGAGGCTCTGTGCTGTGTAATGCAGCATTTTGAGGGGAGACGTCCAATTAGTGTCGTGGCATTTAGCTGTGGATGTTTTGTGAGATGAAGACAGTGGCGACAGCTGTTGCTAAACTGGAACCAGCTCTCTTTACTGTCACTAAATTGAGCATAGGCAGTAAGATGATGGACCCGCACACATACACGAACGATTATACACACATGCACATTGTAACACACATGGAGCGCATTGTCAGGCCATATAGGGCTTAGCCCTTAGCAGGCTGCATGGGCTTAGCTTACTGGATGGACAGAAAGAGCTACTTTCGGCAAGATATTCCTGTGAATAAAGTTTAAATGCAGTCAAGTGCCTTGGTTAATCGGGTCATACAGTATACAGTCTGATTTTTTAGCTTATCCACTAGACACAACCACTTAGGGTGCAGAGTTAGCACCCTGTGTTAACCCTGTTCCAGAATCAGTAACATGAATGTCCCTGTAAAGGTAGAGTGAGTTTTTGAGGTGGGTTTACTGCTCATAAGTCAGTATGTAAGACGGAACCTGTTTTGAGCCTGCTAGGGTTAAACAATACATAACCTCATACAGTAAAATACAACCAGCTTAACAGACAGTGATACAAAGCTGAGAGCAGAAACAGGTTCCAATGCCGAGGCGATAAAATTAAACAAAATTTAAAAAACAGCTTTTAAAATTCTTCATATCAGCTCATATTAAATAGCACGCATAGCGTGTCAAGTTAAACAGTAAATGTTTCATAACTACCACAGGTTTGTGATAAAATTAATAGTTTTACAAATGTACCTTTATACAATACACACACACACACACACACACACAAATATATATATATATATATATATACACACACACACACATATACACATATACATATATATACATACATACATATATGTATATATATATGTACCATAGCTTTGTTTGATGATTCTAACACTTTCCTTCATGTTTTAAATGAGTTTAAATGTTAGTCAGTTCTGAGGATGTATCTGATGTGTAAGCCAGAAAATTATGATGCTGTTTCACATTATACAGCCCTACACACTCCTATCACACACCCACACCCACACACACACACCCACACCCACACAGATAGATCTCTTCTTTTGTTTAAAGAGAGATTTGCATAGAGTTATAAATGTATATCACTTAAAAAATATTCTCAGCAGCAGCAGTGAATGCTGACAGATGATTTTTGCCAAAATGAAGTTTTCTAATGGCACAGATCCACAGATAGGTCGACAGTAATCAGAGATCTATCTATCTCTTGCACGCACACAAACACACGCACGCACACACCAACATAAACACACATGCATGTACACACCACAAATAATATGGCAGCCCCAGTTTGTTAACATGAGGAGTTGTACAGCTCCTAATATTATACCTACTTTATGTTCATATTTACATATGTATACATCTTTTAAATATAGATAGAAATATCTAAGACAATAGTCCACTGGGTTACAGTAAGAATGAGCACCATTATGGGAACACTGGCAAGTTTCTCGCTGCTTAGCATTGGTGGTGAGCCAACTTGGGCTATGCTGGGCTGGGTTGGGCCAGACTGGGTCAGCTGCTCAGTAATACCGAAGAGTCCATCTTTGGCCATAGTACTTCTATTCTCCAGACCTGAAAACCAAAGGAGATTATACTGTCAGTGGTTTATGATGAAACAGACATTTATTTTTTTAAAAAAGGACAGTTGTGCTACACGTCAAGCTCCTCAACTTGATAAGATCTCACCTCAGCTAGCCCGTCTGCCATTGTTGCTCTCAGCTGCCTCAAACTCCAAATCTTGGAGCTCCATGGACTCTACTTTGACTCCCCTGGTACCTGTGTGGGTGTAGAGAGGCACATGTGGGTCCTGGAAGGCAGGCTCTGGCCCCTCTGTCCCTGACTGGCAGTAACTGTCTGCTGCAGCGTATCCTGGGTAAGTGGAAGCAGGGGTCTGGCTGGACAAAGGGGGTGGGTGAACTGCGACGGTGACTGAGGCCGATGCTGTCACCGTGGTGATGGGTTGGCCATATGGAGTAGGGTTGAGGTGTTGGTGCGGGAGGTGATGACTAGGTTGTGGGTTGTGGGAAGAGCGGCTTCTGTGGCCTGTTGAGTGTTCTCTATGGCTATGTGAGCCATAATGGCCCCCAGCCTCAGTAGCAGTTTCAAAAGCGTCCATGCGCGGCAGGGCTGGGGGCGGGCCCTGCCAGTGCACCTGGCTCTTGGGGTCCCTGCTGCTGTTTGGAGTAGTTCCATTCTGCATCCCAGGATCACAACCCTGAGAGAAGACAAAATATGGAACAACAACAACAACAAAATTATCTTTCCATTTCATAATGTGACAAGCAAGAGAAAATATGCAATCAAAAGAGTCATGCAGGAGACACAATATGACATATTTCTCTTACCGAGGACACAGTATAAGCTGGAGGGTCAGGCTGTCTAGCTGAGCGCCGATGTCCTGATGCTCCCCTCCTCATCTCCTCTGTCCTGGCTCTTCCCCTGCTGATCTGGAGGTGGTACTGCTGCTCGTCTGCTCGAGCTTGTCCTCTGTGTGAGTGCAGGTTAGAATTTTGCAGCTCCTGGCTGATACCAGATGCTGTGGTGTTTGAGCTGTACTCTGAGTCTGATGAGTCTGAAACTGCACCAGAGGTGGTGGTGGCTGCAGTGGTGTGGTGAGGACGGACTGAGAAGTGGACCACATGAGGAGGGGCCTCTGGAGATGGGGTTGGTAACCGGCTGCGACCATCAACTGGTGATACCTGAGTGTTGAGTACAGAGAGTTGTCTATAGTTTGGCTTTTTAATTTAAAAAAAAAGTCACTAGTCCTGGTTGATTTAGATTTTCTTGCATTTGCATTTTGTAAGATTTTACCTCTGGATAAGGTCCAAAGTATGATAGTAATACTGGGAGCAGGACTAATCCATTCAGTACCCCAAGAACTGTTAGGATGGCTAACACTGCAAAGAAGTACCTGCATTACAAAGAAAGAGTTCACAAAGGGAAATTAACTTTAATATCAGCTATAAACACAATGAGCAAAAAATGCATGTAAAACACAACACTTTCCTGTGGCTTCTGCGTCACACAACACAATAACATTTATTAAAAATAAAAGATTTAAGCAAAGTCACTCATACCAACAAGGACACACAAGAAGTGAAATTAAGCAAGCTGAAGAAACAAAGAAAA